TGCCAGCAAAGCGACATCCGGGAAACGAAAGCAACCCGTGAATTATGAGAGCCGCCCATTCGAGCGAGGAACCCTCGCCGCAGCCTTCACTGCCGCGAAACTTTGAGTACGCATTCGACGGCGGAAATGATAATTATCCCGCGTAGCCGGAAGCAGCTGCTAGGGCTAGACAGAATCAGGTTGGCAGCTCGAATATCATGAGAGGAGCGGAATCCTCATTTCTGTCCGCTTAGATTCTCGCCGGACTGTGGCATACACTGCAAACTTTCCCCATCAATACCTTCCAAGCTCATACAGCGAAGGAGTGCTTCAAACATCAACCATCTTCGGCAGAGCCGGTTCCGAGAGGACCTCGAGCAAGGAGTCTTCTAAGAGTCGAGCAGGGGGTCGGAGTAGCCCGGAATAATATCGGACACAACACAGTTCTTGCTGATCTTTCCGGGAAGGAAACGAGGATGAAACTCTGGGGAATTCTTATCGTTGAAAGCAAGAGATTTCGAACAACTCGGCACCAGACCGGAGGTGAATTTTCTGAGGGATGAAAGTGTCTCCCGGAAATAATTCGTGGAATGAGTTTCCCTCCCCGCTATCGGCAGATATCCCGCATTCGTCCTTTCGGAGTTCGGATTCTGTCCGGTGAGCGGAAATCCTGCACGTCGTTCCCTCTGAGAGAATTTTCGTCAGGCTCACAGAAGAGAGGGCTCCATAGCCAGCACGCTCCATTAATCGCCCACGAAATCATCGATTCATCGAATATTCGTGATATTGTATGTAAGTATTCATGATATTCGCGAATTCTCCAATCCAGAGTCATGCCGCCGTGCTAGCGTCCAAGCTGTTTTAGCCGATTGGTAACCGCATCGCAGATGGTCATCCTCTTTGGAATGCGGCTGCGAACGCTGGTTGTCGCTCGGAGTCAGCGGCGGTCTTTTGAAACTATTCAACACATTCAGGCGGACAAACAGAAGTAATGAGATGATCGGTTGCACCCCAAAGTTTGTCCGGCCATTCGCTTTGAGACGGCAGCTTTCGAGTGCGGCAGCTATTCCTGTAGCGAACGGTCAGTCATTCGAGAGGTATTTGCTGCCGCTAGGTAAATATTTGACAGCAAGATGGTGCCCTTGCGGATAGAGGAAGAAACGTTTGATGGTGCTCTATGATCATGATGATGATAGGGGTTCCCTCTTCTTATTTTTTCACGCTCGGTGGGGCCTTCATTAGGTCGCTATTCGACGGTAGGCCCTCGGCCCAAGGCTCTGAAAGGCGCGGCGATGGCGTGTCCATAGCGAAAACTTCTTCAAAGGAAAACTTGCCGTGAAAAGAATCCGCTACGAATCGCGGAGAATATTCGTCATAAATACGAAGCGGACCGAAGCGAGCTCGATCAGTGAAAGACGGCCGTCTGCTGCAACAAGGGGTGCATTTCAAATGACCAGCCGGTTATAATTAGGTAATGATAAGTACGCCCACCACCGCCAGCAGAAGCAGCGGCGGCGGTGGGGGCCCCGGCTCCCCGAGACTCGGCACAAGACTCGGACCATTGTGTGCAAGAGAGACGAATGAGAGCTGCAGCTACCCCAGAATCGTAGATCTCCCGAGCGTGAAGCTGAGTAATGAAGGGACACGAATGCCTAGTTCGCCCCTCGAAGCCAACGTCAAATACTCGTATTTCGGCCCTCAGGCTCTCGTGTGGGTTCTTCGGATACATCAGCTTCCCGGGCTCCGAGGAGGATTCGCTCCGCCTGCTCTCATCGAATGCATACACCCTCGGGAAACTCCCTCCGACTCGTGACTGGCTGACTTGAAAACACAATCGTTCGGTGTTTTTCTGATGTGGGCCGGAATTTCGGACTCTCTATATTTTTTTTCTCTCTCAACAAGAGCCTAGAGGGGTATCCACACTGGCAAGAGGAACTTGTCTATTCGAAAAGATGCGGAATCGACTGCAGGGGAAACCATCACGTGGGCGAGCACCGTCGCCGACGCTGTGTCGGAATCAAAATCTCGGGGGAGGGATGAACGTATTTCCGAGCACGATCGATCGGAAAAGTGAGCCAGAGCAATGAACCCGACGAGGACACAGACAACACAGGAGCAATGATATCGACTGCGACACAAAGGTGAGTACAATGTTGTCCGGCAGTTCTCTTTTTTGTCTCGTCTGGTCTGCTGCTGGTCCCTGCCCTTTTTCCACCCTGTCTCGACTTCGTGCCGAACTCGTCCCTTCTTTGATTCAGATGCCTTTTTTGCCCTTTCCGACTGCCTGGTCGACAAGAAGTGAGCGCTGGTGACTTATGACTCTCTGCGAGGCATAGAAAAGCTGTCGATAAGGTCATAAATCTTGTTGTATCTACGTTTTTCCCTCTCCGATGCTGTCGGACGAGCGGTGTGCTTAAAAAAAACTTCACAGGCTCACTCACTGCACGCACGTCCCGGTGTGGAGCTACTCTGATTGGAAACAAAGCATCGGCATCGAGTCCCGCATTATTCTCCTCCTGTCTCGTCTCCCTCCATTCTTCTGGAGCCGAACTCTGGGAATTATCAAATTCAAAAGGAAAGGACCAAATTGACCAACGACGACTCCCTTGTCATCATGGATCTCTCGAGTTGCCGAGTGGGACTACTTCCTCATTATCAATTCATACCGATTGACGGGACTCGTCTTTTAGTGGCAAACACCTCCTACCCAGCCTCGCTCGAGCTACTTCGCATGAACTCTTTCTGTGACGAGCACCTTGCGGGGTCGCGTGAGAGTTCGAATGGAGGCCAGATCGATCGCGCGAATCAATGATTTGGATCCACAGAAATTTTCCACCCGCGACGCGAATCAATGATTTGAATTCACAGAAACTTTTCACCCTGGAATCCTCGGGAATATACCCGAATCCCCGGCATTCTCAGCCGTTCTGGCACCCGGGAGGGCTCCTCCTGGCTCCCTTTTCCCCTCCCGGGACGCGCTCCGAGTCAGGCGCGACTGCGCCTAAAGTTCCCCGACTTGCCCTCTCTGGCCTCGTCTCTTTCCCCCTCTCTCTCTCTCATTTGCATAGCGAGTCTGAGCATTTTCAGCCATGATAATCCCGAAGTCCGCTCATGTAAGATCTTACATAGCCACGCAAACTTTGAGCCGCAGTCCTACTGCTCCTACGGCTCGCATTGCTACAATCGTTTGGACAAGAGTCACCGTGGAACCCTTTGGAAGGCACGCAACGTGGAACTCTTGCGAGACCTAGGGAACTTTCGCCACCGGCAGAGATAGGCCCGGAGACGATCCTACCGCCTTCGAGAAAAGTCTAAGCCAGCGTCAGTGTCTCCGTGGGCATGAACGACTGGCCGATTCAGCCCAGATTGCGCAAAAGCCGACAGCCGACGTCGCGGCTCATTGGCGGAGCCGGCCAACATTTTGGCGAATGGAAAAAAAGGAGAGACTTTCGTTCCTCGGAAGACGCTGCACGACACGGAGGGAAGACGACGCAGTCACTGAGCCGGCGAACGACACATACATTCTCATGGAAATCCGCCGATGTCGACGTGAGGCCATCAGCGAAATGGTCTCACACAGAGCCGTCCTCGATCGATTGATCAATCCCTGAAAGGTTTCTGCGATTCCCCGGGAACCGAGGGCCGGCGACTAACTCGCTGGTGCTCACAGAATGATCGCCTTGATAGCACCTGTTCGGGTTCGAGAGGAATATGCCTTTGTTCTCCCGGAGACGGAGGCCAGTCCGGACGGCGACACGAATTGCCCTTGTGCCTATGCGGTCCCAGTCCGGAGTTTACTCAGATGCGCTGTGAGGTTGTTCATGCAAGGCTGCGATTGCTTTTCTGCTCCTCGCATCAGGGAAGAGCGCCTTCCCTCACTTTCCGACTACACTTTTCCGTCCGCTTCTTCGGTCAAATAGATCGAGCAGGTCGATAGTCGACATGGCCTGATTCGGAACAAGAATACATTTATTGGACCTCCGTTAGGCTCTTTCCATATTCCAGCGGGTTCCATATTGGCGAGAGCTCTACCGGAGGAGGATCTTATGATTCAATCAAGTAATTACCGAAAGGAAAACAATCGAATTTCCAACCGATGTGCAGCGGAGTTCGAGGACTTGCGTTTTTATTTCTCCTTCCCACAGAAAATTTCACCATTTTCCCCCATCCTTCTTCTTCTTGTCGTCTCCGCCGAACGGATTCTTCTTCTTTTCTCCTCCGCTCGCGAGTGCCGGGGACAGAAGTCCTAGGAGGACTAATAGCAGGATCAACGTGATGGACTTCATGACGCTCGATCGGTGCGCTCGCACACGGAGCCCGTTATATAGCAGAAGTTTCTGTTGTTTATGGGAGCGGTCACGGCAGCTCGGAATCGTCCGATCGCGGGCTGATGAGAAACCACCCACAGCGTCGGAAACCGCCCAAGTGACGTGACGACCAGAGAGAGTTGAATGATAAACAGATGACGAAATCTCTGGAATCTCTAGTGCCGTCCCCGGGAAACCTGCTCACTGGACACGACCAGAAAGAATCCTCGGGAGCAAGCTCTAACGATCGCAGGATGATCGAGGAGGAACCGCCGTGGAAATCTTATGGAACTGAATTTGACGCGGGATCACCCCCGCGGTTGGAGCACCGTTAACATTTGTTGTCCGTACTGTCGGCAGCAAGTCTCGAGATAACCGATGGACGAGTTTCGTACATGCTAATCTTGACTGAAGGTCGTCGCTCTCAGTGCGCAGGCCGATCTCACTCGGTACCTTTTTTCCTCCAAGAACTTCGAGAAGCCTTAGAGCCTCATTGCCGAATGCCTGGCCTCAGGTACTTGGTCGGAGATCATCAGGCTCTCGGAGGCGATTTCGTGACAACCGCTCGGCCCTCGAGTCGCTCCCGTCAGGTTGTTCAACGAGATGTATTCGTGGCATCGGGAGAGGCTCGAGTCTCGACCGATCTCGAATTTTGAGGCTTCATGGCTTCCCGCAGAGAATTTTTCCACCCCGATTTATCGGAGAGTCAACGAATCAACCGTCATTTATCGAAAGACTCTGAATGGCTTCTCTCAAAATAATCTCGTCGTCGCTCGAATAGACGGGGCGCGGAATCTCCTCAAGAAGTTCAGATCTGAATCGAACTATGCTGAAGTCATTGAAAACATCTTTGTATTGAAAAATGTTCTCGACTGGGACCTGTTGGAGAGGGCAGGGATGAAAGAGGTGACATGGATATCGTATGACGAAAATTCGAACAACACTATACTCGATGAGGCAACTTAAATTCTCTCCGCAACGGCTTTGAGCACTTTTCCGAGGAGCTTACCTCGTCATAGAGAGCTTCTATCCCTTTCAAAGCAGCGAGTTCTCCGTTTTTGATTCTGTTCTGGAAATCGAACTGATCGAACATGGCCGAAAACGAGTTCCCAAAAATGGTGACGGAGGTCAGATGCTTCCTGGGGAAAAAACGATTCATCGGAAAATCAGAATTGAGTGGGACAGAAGAAGAAGAGCGAGACGTAGAACGAAAATGAAAAAGAAATTCAGTTGAGTCTTTAGGCGGAAGTTCTGTGAGTCGTCGATGGATTCCATTCCCCGGATTCTGAGCAGCTTGGGATTGAGACCCGCAAAATCAGTGTCAACTTCAATTGGGAATTGCCATGCAAAAGCTCCCGAAGATTCCCAGATCGTAAGATTCGTCTGTATACTCTCTGTAAGAACGAAAGGAGCTCTCGGCTCTCACCTGTTGGCATAGACCACGCTGTTGAAAAGCGGTTTACCGCAGTGAGGCATGTAGAATAACGAGTCGCTAAAAATCAGGAAACCCTCATCATTTTCGGGGGGAATTTCACAGCCCATCTCAGAGAGCAGTTTCCGTTCGCCGCGGTTGAAAAGTGGATCATAAACCACGGTGCGTTCAGTCTTCAGTTCCTCTTTCAGGAGCATCATGAGAGCAGTCTGCCAACGAGCCGTGAGGTTGTCGCTGAACTGTTGGAGCGAGAAAAAAATCGTTGGTGTTCGAGATTAGCACAGCCCTCCGTCTCTAGATCCACACATGGAGATCAGCTGCCAAATGCCTCCGAAGTCCGTATGAGATAATCAGGACTTTGATCACCTGTCCAAGGCCCAGGCAGACGATATTGGGGACGGACTCGACTCTGAGCGCTTTTTTCAGCGTTTCCCAGTATTCAGAGCAAGACAAGTCCCTCTTTGCGCTATCCAATCTGTCCCGAACATGGGCCTCATCGATATCCGAGACACTTCTGGTATTGCCTGCAATGCCGATGACTCTCTTATGCCGCTCAATTCCCGATTGCGTTGTTCAATGCTGACGGGTTTCAGGGATGAGAAACTCACCTGCTGGACCATTCCGTGTCTTGCGACCCATTCGCTTCGATCTGACAGGGATGAATCCGTCAGCCATGAGGAAACCTGAAAGAAGGGGGAATGGTCAGAAAACTGGGAAATGCGCGATTGTCACCTGAGACGGGCGCGAGACCAGGGAGCTTCAGGATGCATAAGGAATGATGCGCTCACACACGGAGAGCTTGTCCCGCAGACCTTCTGCTCACTCAAGAGCCCGGAGCACAAGGATCGACGAGCGTTCAATGGAATGGATAGATCAAAATCAGGACGGAAAGGTATCATGATAAATTCCTCTCGATGAACAACACCGAATCTGCAGTCCAGGTAACATGTGGTTTTATTCTCAGAGAGTTATGGCTCCAATCCGAGCCGCACTTTGATACTACACAAGAGATTCAACTGGAGAGCGTAATTATTTCAGGACAGCGGAAGTTATCGCAGTCGGGCCCGAAGAAAACTCTCGAACCAGTGCTGCGCCTCTTAGAACACAGTACTTCTGGGGTCGGCTCATGCTAAGAACTATCTGAGATCCCGAGAATCTACAACCGAATGAGCCCCTGGAACATCAGGAAGCTTTGGAAGGCACATCCTCACTTGAGACAGTCGCTCTGGATAACCGGGAGCACGAAAAAATGCAGAGAGAAAAATAAAAGCTTCACTTTGAAGAAACAGCGCCATTCGCGGACGCACAGTCAACCCGCGTGGAAACGTGACAAAGAACGATAGGAAGTTAAATTAGCTCTCGAGAGCGCAGAGCGAGGCGGGGCCAGATGGAGGGCAGAGTTGAGATAAATTCCTTGGTAAAGATCACAAAATAATACTGAGGAACGTAATCGCTCGAACCGATCGATGCCACTCCAATAGATCCAAAGTAAATAGAAGGTGAAGGCCGAAGAAAATATCCGGACCGATTTCCCTTGATACTTCTTTCCGAAAGCCGACCCCATCGGGATCGGCGCTCGCCATCACAGTTTGTGGAAGTCTCGGAGGGAAACTTGAACACGGGTCGTTGTTTCGAGAACAGATTATTTCCGGAGCCAGAGGTCTCCCTTCTGAATTCGAAGCTGGATTGTGGAACCTTTGCGGTGATCTGAGCTCAGAACTCCAGTACTTGGAACGGGAATCTCTCCGGACATCTTCTTAGCGTTTGTTGATGAACATCCAGGCGAGTCCTGCGCCACAGCAGATAGCTCCGATCGTGAGCAGGGTCGTAGGTACTCGTCTGGTCTCGGGGGCCAGATTCGGTGCAGAGACAGCGGACTTCATGCCATCGGGAGAATCTGGGCTCTTGGCTTCGTTGAGAGTCTCACAACTCGAAGCTCTCATATCACTATAGCGGGAGCTGCTTTTTGGCATTACCGTGAAACGATGACCCCTTGACCCAGAGAATACGGGCGCGAAGGCGCTCTGAGGGAAGCGTCCGAACGGAAAAGTCTCCTCTTGTATCGAGTTTAGATGTTTCCGCAGTATACTCGAGGCCGGAGCCTTCTTCGCCAATTTATGGAGACTGTATCCTATCACGAGTATCTGCTCAAGTTTGTCTTCGTTTTCTTTGAGCAATTTCTCAATTGACTCGAAATCGGGCAACGGCGCGTAGACCAGTGTGATTCCCGGCGCACGCACAGAATCCTTCATGACGATTTCGTCGGGAAGTTTATCTTTGGCATGCAGGAAGGCGTGACTCCGGAGACTTTCTTTCTCGAGCTCGATGAGCCCCGGGTCGAGGTAAATTCTGGAAGGTTGACAGATTAGAAGGAGTGGACGAGCCCGGATTTGGCGGAGCGGTCAATGTTGTCAAATAGGACTTGGAGTTTCACGAAATGTACAGACAGCGCAATAATGAGAAACTCACCGTCTTCTAGGAACTGTAATTTCGAGCAGGACTTCCATCATGGCTGCCCGCCAAAGAGACGGTGAATGCCGAGAGAATCTTCCCAGAGGTAATACCACGAAACTCTCAACTCCGCCCTTTACAAATTCTTTCAATGTAGCCGTGATCAAGCTGTTGTTGACCAGCTCCGTTCGCAATTCATAGATCTTGGCGCCGACCAATTTCGAAGCGGTCTCGAGATCACTGCTATCGCTCCGGATCGGTTTCTCCCTCGGGGAATTTCTATTGATATCTCGGGTTGCTCGTTTCACGACGCTTTCTTTGGGGGTGCTAGTCTTCCGCAGCTCGGTAGATTTCACGGGTGTCTTCGGCGCGGTCGCGGTAACAGTGCCGGAGGGTTTCTTCTCCGGACGACGATTTCCAACATCGATCTTCTCTGTTTTTGACTTGACGGAGGTCGCCGATGACTTCCGCTCTTGAGTTGCAGGTCGCAGCATATCGAGTTTTTCATTGCGTCCTGGAGTAGACGCACCGTTCAGTTTCGAGCGCGGAGTCGCTGTTTTGCCATTGGCAGCGGTAGGCACCGGAGACTTCCGCATCATTCGAGGACTACCCGGCGTCGAGCCCTGACTCTTCGTGCTGACGTTCGACAATTGACGTCCAGCGCGAGGCTTTCCTGTCGATCCTGTCGATCGGAGACTGCTTGTGGATACGTCCATTGTGGTACAGCGAGGTCACAGGGTTAAATGTTTAATCTGTGGCTAGGGTTCGACAGGAGGCTGAGATGAAATACGATTCGAGCAGAGCAGGGAACAGCGTCGTGGTCCTGTCGTCACTGAGCGATGTGACACTTCGTCAGGGAAATGCTTCGGTCGTGCACATGTACCGCAGAAAACGGTGTTTTCGGCTGAAGCAGACGACCCCTCGAGGTTCCGCGCCATCTAGCGTGGGCTCGTGAGTTTGCGACTCACTTGATCAGCTGATCGCGGAACCCGGAACTCGCGAGGAGTGAAATCAAAATAGATATGGGAATCACTGGGCTACGGATGATCTGATTTGGTATCTGACAGGTCTCACATGCAAACGCGGATAACAACGGGAACCGATCGGACCATTCGCCAGACCGGGCTACGGACTAACGGGGGTTAAATCTCCTCGGCCTACTCACAGCTGTCAGGTTAATCACTTGATGCAAATCGGCGATCCTGATCCCATTCGATTCGAAATGGGTCCTTACACTCAGTAAATCGGATAAAGTTCGCTTATGCTCGGAGAAACGTGCGGCACACAGGTACACGGAATCGTGGAGGGGAGCGATCGCTGATTTTCGGGAACACAACACCACGTCGTCTGCTCCCACAAGCGCCAAAGCTGCGGAGACCGTTCCGCGCACTTCCACCGACCGTAGACGAGTGGAACAATCTGCGCAACAGCTTCCGGACTTCCCGGGTTCTATGGGAAACATCGAAGTATCGGAGAGCGCTTGCTTCCGAAGTAGCAGTGAGAATCGGAACTCGGAGTCCGAGTGACAGCGATTCATGCAGTTTGATTGTGTATTGAATGATAGGCCGGTTCCCTCGAACGGGCGGAATGGGCCAGTTCCGTTCAGGCTCAATCAAGAGGGTCTCACGGGATTTTCCTCGAAAATTTTTATTCCGGAGTCATCTAAGCGAAACTCACGTGGGAACCCTCTGCCAGGGCTGAATAACAGTAACTCTAACAAGCTATCTTATCCTAGTAGCACACGTACAAAACTTGTAATTTGTAAATATACTGGAAGATATCCGCAGCCCTGGCTGATACCACCGCCGATATCAGGCGTCCCTCTCGCGTATCGGATACAAAAGCACACAACAGAGAGTAGACCTGCGTCACCAGCCTCAGATTCGCACTCTTTTGGCTGAATTTCCCTGATGAAATTTCTCTTCGCTGTTGACGTCTCAAAGCGCAATCGTTCACGGTAACAGATGGTTTGAAGCCATAAGAGTTAGTCCTATCAATCTCAGGTTTCCTAATTCGATGACAATCTCAGGGCTCTAAGTCTCAATTCAATCTCAGACTTGCTGAGGGCAGCTGGTCACGAAACCGTTTATGCCTTTTTTCACTCGGGGAAAGCTGCGTTCAAAACTTTGAGCGCCACCTCGAATCCCATGAAACAAGCGGCATTCGCGGGGAACGCTCTCAACATGACGGGTGTGCATCCTTTGTAGAAAGCGGCGGGGCCTTCGTTTCTCATCGTCTCCTTGAAAACGTCGCGAATTCCATTGTATTTTCCTTCGGGAGCGGTTTGCAGCCGACTCTTCAGCACATCAGGCGGGATAGCGACGAGCCAATTGAATATACCAGCCATTCCTCCCGCAAACAAGGTTTTTCCCACGGAAAGATCGGTCCGGCTCCCGCCCTCCGGGGTCAAGACCCTCTGAAGCCACTCGTAGGTCATGAAGTACATTCCTGAGGCCGGAACGTCTCGCATGAGCGTGGCACAGGTTCCTTTGTAGATGCTACGGATTCCACCGGTTTTGTACAATTGTTTCGCGCAGTCGATTGGTCCCGCGTAGTTCGTACTTGTAGAGGCTCCTGCTTGTTGGACTTGGAGAAGGCACTTGATACGCTCGCCGGGCGCCATGATCGCCGTTGTGAAAACCCCCGAAAGCATTCCAGCGAGAAAAAGTTGATGATAACGGAGCTCTTCATCGGGGTGCGTTTGCTGAATTTTCTTGCCGATACCGAAACCGAGGAAACACACCGCGTACATTGGAGTGACTCCCATGAGCGGCGCCGCCATTCCTTTATAGAGTCCTGTGAAACCTGCATAATAACAACTAGAATGAGGGAATGCAACCCTGGCAGGAAGTCCCTGAATGAATTAGGTAGGTTCGGAATCGAAATCGTCGTAGTAGGTGATCCGCGGCGAGCTTACCCTCTCTGGTGACGGTTTTTCTGGCGCAGTCGAATGTACCCGCGTACAGGGGAGCTTGACCAAGAGCGGGTTTAGGCATAGTTTGGAGTCGTACTTTGATTGTGTCCAGCGGATGTCCAGTGGCGACGAGGCATATGCCGCCGAAACCTCCCGCGAGGAATTCCTTGATGGGTGACACCTTCCGCGAGGTTTTCGCCTTCGTTTCCTCGGCCATCCTGATTCAATTTGTATCACGAACTACCGATCTGCAAGAGGCTCTCTTGTCAAAAAAATGAATGCTCAACTCTCTCACGGATACGTGTAATATAAGGATCAGTCGATGTGCCGTGGGATCGTTATTAATCCGGAGCTCGGAATCGATATCTCCATTGTTCTGCAATTACCTACATAGGCGGAAGCTGGCATCATTCCGAAAGCCGTGGCATCCCTTCCACGACTTGAATGCCGCTGACACCTAATCTCACGCGGAAGCAAAGATGCTTGTCATCTCACTCGGAATCAACATTTGGATTTCCGAGAGGAAGAACGGATCGAAGCGGGACGAGTAAGGAAACACTGGCACCGTTTATTATCCGAGGAATCAAACCGGCAACAAAAGTGATCAGTGACTGTTGATCCCAGTCATGGGGACAGCTCGCACCATGTCAATCTGTAGATTTCGGAGGCATTTCCGAATACATGTACATATATCGGCGACACATGCCGGTCTCTCCGAAAATCGAACGCTGCATGTCAAAGGAACGAGTATGGGATCGTAACGAATGCTCTCTTGGACGGGCGTTCCCAGCCCACGCTCATCAAACCGGGGGAAAATTTTCGCGCACGCTCTTCTGAGTGATGACTCGCCCCCCAGATTTTGCGGGCGCGATTGCGAGTTGCGCCGACTGGCTCCTGAAGCGGTAGAGTCGAAAAAGTACCGGTGTTGCTGGTTGCAGAGAAGACCGTCACGATAGTCACCAAAGGAACTGTCTGTAACTTACCTTAATTATCGAACAAGAAGGAGGCCCCTTGTCTCCTGCTGCTCTCTGTTAGAGACTACCAAGTCGTCTCTCACTCACAATAGTTCGGCTCTGCTCATCGAGGAAACAACCTTGGCCGTGAGTGCATCCATTCTGTTTGTGGACGTTCTGTGGCTCGGCGATTGGTCGCGTTGGCAGCGCGCTTATTCAAACTCTGCGCTGGCCCGTTGGTACGGCATCATCTCTCCCCGACTATTTCCGTCTCGTACAACACAGCGACGTCGGCTTTAGGCCGACTCTTCGAGTGAGCTCAAAAAACTCCAGTTCGAAGCTCTAGTCGAGTGAATTCATGACCATTGCGCTCATGTTGGCAGGAATCGGAGCTGGTGGAAAATTTTCCCCTGGAGATATCTCCAAGAGCTCGTATCGCTCGATAATAAGCTTCCGGGGAGTGTTCCACCGATTCTGGGATCGATGTGGTCTGTCTTCTTGATCGGAGAAAGTTCGTCCACGACTACCGTTTTGTGAATCTCCTGGCTGACGATCAGTGTATCGCTCCTTCGATTATTACCCTTCCGCGGCCTCGCAGAACACATGCGAAATCAATAAAATCAAGCTCCGCTCGACCCAGCGATTATTGTCCCTAGTTCGACTTCCACTGTCGAATAAGTCCTATGATATGTGATGTCTGATGTGGACTCAGCTGGCAACGAGGATCCAAGGTGCACGGGTCAAAAATAAGACGAGGGAGGGAGATGATGGAATCGGAATCTCGGAACCCCTAGGATGATACGGAGAAACATGTGTGTATGAAGAACACTGCATGGATTGGAAACGATAACGAAATCGTGGAGTAATTGGTCATTGTAATCATCTAGTAAATAGTGTTCACGTAGACAACTCCATGGAGATTGGCGATTTTGAGCTCCCCAGTGGAAAGAGTTCTCGAGAACCTGAATCAGTGAGCTATATCAGGAGAGAATCTCCGATGCGATCCTCGGGATCTCTGTCTGTTGGACGTTATCATATGATTATTTCCATGCTCCACTCCCTACTACGAAACGTTGCAGCATGAACTTGCGAACAGCGAACCCTGGAGTTCGAGTTCCGCATTTCGCCGTGAGTATGACCTATGGAAGGAGAAGGTGATCGAGCCGACTCCGATTGGGCCCAAAAGCGGAAGTCATGGGTACATGGAATCAGCGCCGACTAATGTCATTGACTGGGAAGGGACGTCTCCTCGAGATGCATTCGGCTCTTCTGATTCAAGGAGAGCTCCATCCGAGCCCCCCCACGAATCCAGGGTACTGCCTGAGCAGAGAGTGCGCGCTGTCAGGGGGGGTTCACCGAGCGAAATCACGCAGGGTGAGTGTTCGAGAACCGCTCCTGCTTGAATATATCAACAAACTTTCTGCCCTCCGGATGTGGATGTAGAACTTCCAATTTCCCGGAATTATTGGTTTCAACCATAACACAGCAGCTGTTCGCTGAGTACTTGCGCATCACACGATCATCACTTACCCCCATTTGGATTACATCACGCGAGAATGTTCGAGGAGAGATCAGCGTCTTCGTGTAGAATCAGCTTTGGTATCACTGGCCAGTCGGCATCTCTCTCTGGGGGCATCATCACTATGATAATTCAGCGGAATAATTTAGAAAAAATGAGTTGAGACAAATAATCTAGAAGCGGAGGGGAAAACCATTTGAACAGTGATGATCAGGGCAAAGCCCGCTGTCCAACGGGGAGCTCTGGTCAATCGCTCCAGAGTTTCCATGAAAGAAGGACTAATAGACCATTCTGCAATCAGTGGAGGGAGGATCCCCGAAATGCGGATCTCCGAGCTCGGAAGCGTTCGCTGGAACTCCGGAGCCGCCGCCGTCCCAGAAGGAGTCCAATAATGCGAGGAAATCCCGAGATTCCTCGAACGAGGTTCTCGAGATTATCAGGGCGAGTGAACAAACGCTTGAGAAAAGCTTCCGAACAGTCAGAAAGAGAAGAAAGTCCAAATCCAGCAGGACCGATCAGAAACTCACGGAGTCTCATTCAAGTAGGAATATATTGAGCATTCGATCGGAGGGACAGTCCGCTAGACCGAGAAAACCTTTGTGCGTTGAAGGCGCGCACCTTAGGCATTCGGAGAGGTCATTGAAATTGCCGTGTGACAGAGCACGCATCAGTGTGAACGACGCCTCGAACAGTAATTTACCTTCACCGAACCCGAATCCCATACCGGTCCCGGGGATTTTTCAATCGTCAGCCATGCAACACGGTTCATTCCACGACACGTGTTTTCAGAAATGGAAGGACGTTGCCATTGTGCTCCTAGTCCTAGCGAATGTTGTCCTGAGCCTGGTCGTTCGGTCTCTGCTGAATAATAAGTGAGGAAGGCATAAACTTCGAATGTTGATGAGTACCTGGACGTGTTGATCAAGCTCCGGATTCCGCCTATTATTTCTTATCCGAATTCGCCTCGTTTTCATTTGATGAGAATTCTAGCGGAGCGTGAAACTTCTGTCCCGAAGCTTTGGATTTCATTCTTGAGTCCTCGCGATTCCGCGATAGGGCGACAGATGACACAGATTGTGTCACATTTGGGGCGAAAATACATTGTTGTGCTTTCGCCGGGAATGTTTCGGAAGCGCATTCACTTTCTCTCAGACACGCTCACAGACAAACAGATTCGCTAATTAACGCACACAGCGAAAGCCACGCCACGCTGCCGAAGCCGTAGCCCACCGTCAGGGTGAGTGGCGTTTGAACCACTGAACGGAAGGACGGACGGATGGACGGACCGACTGACTGACCACCCGCAGACGGTGACAGTCACACAAGCAGAAAGCGAACGAATGAAATTCTGGCCGCATTGAGAAATTCAATTAGAACATGAAGTCGCTCCCGGAAAAAGTCAGAAAACTTTCGTCGTGAATCCGTCACAGCATATGCACAAGACCGAGAGGAAAATTGAAAAGATGGCATAGCTCGAGTAGGAGCGACCGCGTGGTCGCTGAGTGGAACGAGAGCGACGGAGTCTTGTAGCAAACCGTGTTTGCGACGAGTTTGTACCTATTATTAATCCGAGTGAAGATGTCTCTCATTGCACCGGTTAAATTATTCGCGGGTTCATCGGCTCAGGATTGTCGATCGATCACTACTAGTTCAGGATTCGCCGCCAGTCCACAATATTTGGGAATGATCGCAAAAACCTAGCTTCTCCAGACGAACGATCCGCCGCCGAACGGGAGCAGGTTGTGATTCTCAAGAGTGTAGCCCGGAATCACTAGAACAACTTCCTGTGTGAGTCACAAATAGCCCCGACGTGACCGGCGACAATTTGCAATTAAATGCCGGAACGAGGAATCCAATAGCAGCAATCGTTCCAGAGTGGAGCTTGCGATCCGAAGCCGGATCCTATCGATTATCTCATTGAAGCAGAGCTTCCTGGAACTATTCCATGCAAAGTGGAATTCTCTCGTGCATCCCTTGCGAGTCTGGAATTCTTGGTATCCCGGGAACGGAGATTTTTTCGGTTGATGCTTTCCGATCACCAGATCACTCGCTTCTTTGATGTGAGACCGAGGAGAATTTCCACGCAAGCGGAGGTCCATTCGCACCGTCACGACTTCCCTTGCAGTGGTAATTCTCGGAGGTATATCCTGCGACATTTTGATTCCAGGGAGTCCGCCTCTCTCAGCTAGCGCCTTGAGCGGAAGCCAGAGAGTTCGAATTGATCCTATCGAACTCAATGAATTCTTGTGATTCCTCGGCTCCTTCCGTAGAGAGGCGGCTTGATGCGATCTCGGGCGGAGAGATCTGGTGCAATGGCGGGGTATACTCAAGACCGAAACGGCACAGATTCATTTCAAGCAATGTCTTCCGCTGTGAGACCGACTAATTGTAGGCTCAGAGGGGACTTGCCCTAATCGAGGTCTTTCGCTGAATGCCGGTTAAATTTCTTGAGTATCCCGTCTTTCTCCTCGATAGGAGTTTATCTTCCATCAGCAGTCGCAGCATTGCAGAACATTTAAAATTTGATTTTTCTGATTCGGAAAAAAGAAGATAAAAGCCAATGCGGTGATCCGTCTCAATGATCGCTGGTCGATCACTGCAATAGATGCGGCTCACGAAATGCTCTTTTTTCCCAGACCAGCCGTCCGAAGTCTCTACTCTGCTGTTTCAGCGATGTTCTGTATTTCAGCAGAAAACAGTTCCGGAGAAACAATCCTACACTAAGCAAACACTCCAGATCGGTGGCTTGAGGTAAAACTGATCGTTTCCCACAAGAAGACGACGGCATCGCACGGGGAGGCTTAGCAATCTGAAGAGTCCTGCAACATAGTCTCCTCGGTATGCTGCTGTCCTCGATCGGCAGATTCCAGGAATTCATTCTCGTCATGTCTGACAGAGCGAAAATTGAACGTCTGCTCCTCGGATAATCGCTGGAGCTTATATGACATCGCTCCGGAATCAGTGATTTGCCCCATCGGAGTCGAGAGCGATTTTCTCTTGCTGTGACGCGGTGGTCGACTCGATTCGCTCTTGATTTGCTCAATACCAGAGCGTCTCGCTCAACGGTATGACCGAGAGATGTATTGCGGAGGAATTGTAATTTTCCAGAAAGGCCTCGCCCCGATGATGCCGCTGTTCCCCTTCTCCAACTCTCCGTGGCCCCCAAGGGAGGATTTCATTCGGATAGTCTATGAGCATAATTTCATTTTTATCACCCGCCTGTTTGCTCATTTCTCTGGAATAGTTTTTCCCCATGTTTTTCGGGACTGTCGAGCGACTGTCCGAAAGAGCAGCGCCGGAGTATCCAGAAAGTCGTCCGGGGTTTCCGCCCCTTTTCACGGGGCAACACAATAGATGTCGAGACGGAGGAAAAGTACCGTTTCTATGATGAGGTGTCGCCAGAAGAAGTCTTCAGTGCCTCGACCATTGAACGGGTCTGCGCGGCCGCTCTGCCACGGGGCGTCCCGTTCGTCCATCCGTCCGTCGGAAGAGCAGGTCGTTCTCTCACGCGGAACGAACCTCAAAAGCGGATGGACAGCGGCCGCTCGTGCCATTTCGGAATCGCTCGCCTCCAGTTGGGCCGCTCTGTCAAATCACCGGCCGGCTACCACTCACTTGGTTAAAGCGGTGAATCAAACACTACAAAGTTTCTTCGTGAACAAGCAACATCGATTAGTTAGTGTGTTCTGTTTCGTTCGAGTCGACGGTGCGCTGGGAAATGTTGGGCGCTCGACTTCTAGTCACGTTGTTGAGCGGGGCCACTTTGGTGGCGGTTTTCGCATCAGGTGACACTTCGGATGACCCTGCTCTTAAGAGGACGAAACGTGGCGGAGGATACGAATATGTTGGTGAGTGATACCGAGGTTCCCACGGGAGAATGGTAAGCGTGTCGCTTTCCCAGGTTTCCCCCTTCGGGAAAATTCCTCGCTCATCGACAGTCCCATCCCGAGTCTTCGGGCGAGAGATCTTTTTCAAAACTGAATTCAGGAGAATCATTCTGAGCTTAGCCGAGCGGCTTAAATCCGCCGGAGCCCCGCCGCAATCCCTAGAAAACTCCATCGAATTATCAAAGAAATCCTTAGGCCGATCAATCACAAATTGCGGTGGAAAGACTTCTCGAATCCCAAACGGATTCTTGAATCCGACCTCGAACGTCTTCAGCGAATATGCTCGTTCTTATCGTCATCAGGAGAGGTTCCAGCACTGAATTATTTCCAGAAAAGATCTTACCAAATTTCATAATTTGTTCCGGGATGAATCGGGCGTCGCCCGTGCATTGACGATCAATCGAATTAGGAATCCGATTGAATTTTCCGTCCGGAAGGATATTTGTGCATCTGGACGATTGAGGCTATCCATGAGGACTAACTTCTCTGAATCCAAGGAGGGAAGACTCTCAGCAGCAGAAGGAGTTCTAGATGGGGATCCAAGCTTCAGTAACGAGTGAGGTCCTCCAATCTTTTTGAGTGCGACCTATTACAAGTTGCCAGCCTCCCTTATGTGATGGTTCGGAAACAGGTCATTGCGTGATTGGACCCATGAAGCTCAGAGAAAACTCGCTCGCGGGATTCGGAAAGCTTCGGAAAATCCAGATCTAGAATATTCGCGACGTGTTCCCTTCAGAAATACCGGAAAGTGTGCTAGTAAGCGTTCGGTCGACACTCGGAATGCCGTACGGGCTAGAGATGAGCGTAGATCGCTCATCATTTTCGCGAATTCCACTCCGAGGAAGAGCTTTGCCAATCTGGGTGTTCTGCATATGTGAGCCTCACATTTTGATTGACTGGGCTTCCTCATGAGTCCGAGCGAGCGATTGGGGCTATACTTTCGGCTCCCAGGAATCTCCTGATACTAACACCACCAACGCTCAAAGATTCTCCCGGAGAAAATGAACGCTCGACCAGACCTACCCAGAGCTCCCAGATCCCCCTTCTCTTTGACGGGCTCCTCAACGGAACGCCGAATCACTGAGTCATCCTTGAAACCCCAACATCTGTTAGCAGAATAAGTATGTATCTTAATATTATTATGTAAAAATAAGCCCATATCTTGGGCCTATTTTCCTACAGATTATGTGCCTTCATCGTACGAGCCGAAGTCATCGCATTATTCCCAAGAGAGTAATTACGGGAGCTACGGGAAGCACTATCATCATCACCACCACAGTCACAAATACCATTGCAAGCACTGCCACAAGAAACATCACGATAAGAAGTCCAGTGAGTCTGCCTGAATGATAGAGGAAGTTCGAATACCAATCTTGCCTGAATAGTCCAGCGACCTTCCTGATCGTACCATTGATATTACTTAATCGATATTCTGAGACTTCAAGATCCATTCTGGACTTAGACACAATTTAACTCTCGGGTACTTTCACAGTCAGCCTTCACGGCCTCCTGGCCCTCTTAGCACCTCTAGCTTTGCTGCCTCTGCTCACGGGGGCGATCGCTCCAATTTCAATGGCACCTCTAGTGGTCCCCGCTATGACCCAGGTGATCGCAGGAACGGCGGCAGCGACTGCGGGTCGACGGAGACGGCGCAGCGCAACGCAGGGCTCCGCCGAATCAATTCACGAATATCTGAAGAAGGTTAATCCTAGTGGAGAATACAACGACGAGGTAATGGCTCAGTACCTCAAATGCAGCGGGATGCTCGACTCGAAGAATCATTGTCTCGATCGGTTGACTTGTCAGTACACGGCGGGCACGTTGAACAGCCTCGAAAAAGAGGTCGCGTCACTGTGAGTATTCGACAAGTGCTTTGTCCGGTTCGATATCGGGAGCATAAACGCAGAGTTGATTTCCAGAGTTTTGACACCTGAGCATTGAATCCAGCTGCTCATGGGCATTCTGCCCGATTATAATTCTGATGGATTCTTACAGGATAATCTACACCATCGTGAAGAACAAGTACATCCCGGAGAGCTTCAAGGACCAGATGAAGAAAGCAGCCGCTTTCGGTCGCCAGAGTCCGCTGAGATGCTACGCTTTCCGGTGCGATAATAAGAAGGATGTCTTCTCATCCTTTTGAGTGACAACCCGAGTTCACTAGCGGATATTCAGCTCATTCTAACATCATCTTCACTGACGTCGCTTCATCAACACCGACATCGCCTCGAGCGTAGAGAAATCATCGAGCATCTCAGCTGCTCGATGTCGCCAGCGCAGCATAACTGTTTCCTACTGTTGACGAACAGTGCATAATTTGCAGTCAGATCTCTATCCTACGTTTTTTCCCTTCTGTTCCATTGTAAGTTATTGCGTTATGTACATACATCACATCCATAGAGAGATTGTTATTTATTCTGTCTCTTCGTTCATGAGAGTTTCCCCGGTTGTTCCTCCCGGGTTTTTTTTTCGAAAGTTCCGCGGAGTAGGTACAAACAGACATTCACAGCATGGTGTTGAACGAGAGGAAAATTGAATGTCAGCCCAAATAAAACGATTCACTTCTAAAACGAAGCCAGGCCATCGAGGTACGCGGAAGTTTGCTGGAAATTTTCTAATGCCACAGGAGATTCTTGCAGAGAGAAGGATGCGATTCAATCGAGACAAATAAAAGATCGCTACCCCCTTCGTCATGGTGGTTGTTCCCGGAGGTGTAATTTAATTTGGAGTGCCAACTATTCTCTCCTCCCGGTGTATTCTCCGCAAGGGATACCTTTTCGTTAAAAACCTCACATGATGATTTATTTCCATGAAGATCGGGTTTCTCCTATCAAGCCTCGTCTCTTATACCGCTCCGGATCGAGCAGCGTCAATATCAACTTCTAGTATCGACTACCACCGAGGAAACATTAATTTGTTCATCGGGGAATCGCCGCGTCGAAGATTACTAGGTATGTTCAATCAAATCTCAAATTCTAGAGCGACGCTGAAATAATATCAAGGCTCGTAGTTTTGCTCGATAGAATAGTCCCAACAATCCAGAATCAGGTGAATATTAACATCGACAGCTCGTATTTGCGGATGTCATCGCGCTATAGCGAACGAGCCCGCTGCAGAGGAAATCAATTTCTACGAGATTCACCATCATTCAAGACTTGACTCTGTCTAGGCTGGACCACATCGTTCCTGAATGATTCTACGCTGATACTGAGAAATGATCCAAAGATGCCAAGTCACAAACTCAATTATCGACGGTGTTTTGGCGTAATAATCAGACACGGGCTAATTGCGAGGACTTCTAGATCGTCTTTCTCGCCGAATCTGAGAGATTTCGCATTCGGGAACCACTCATTCTGAACAGGATGTACTATCAATAACTTATCCTAATCGTTAACGAGGCAATAAGTTCATGAGACCATCATTCAATCATTCAATAATAACCCAGGATGGGATTTTCTGCTCTCAATATTTACACGCTATCTCCGACAATTCTCACCCTGGTAGCATCAGTTCATGTATGTATATCTGCTCGACGACGGAGGAGCTTAGCCATATAAACATTTGTTGGGCTTTCGAGGGAATCTCAGGCGATCCTTCTGGAACGGTGCCGACAGAGAGATCAAAGAGCCGAATGGGTCTGATGAAGAGAGGACGAGGAGCATGATGATGATGCGAAGAGGGGGGAAGACGAGAAAGGTTCTTACTATAGGAGGTGGGGCTGAGTGACCATCGTCCGATGGAGAGGCATCGAGGGCGGAGTGGAAGGACGGTAGAATCGATACACTCAGTCAGACCAGTTGTAGTTGTAGAGAATTTTCGACGTGAGATGAGGAAGGTTCTAATGGTACAGAGATATTCAAATCTAAGAATTCGACGAGAGGAGATCACCGAGAACGCCATCGTATACCGTACTTCAGGATCCAAAGGGGTAATAGCCATTATTATGACACCACAAAGCTACATAAGTCAGGACAGATGTTGTCGAGACGCTGTTTCTCTTCCGAGTTGATTCTGTTGGCTCCAGTCAAAGTTGGCGCGCCTCAAAAATTTGATCGAGGATCATATGTATTTACAGTTGTGGGCCGCTTCCGCGCAGATCGTTCAGTTTACACAGTCGCTCGCATGCGCATTCTTACGCCTGTCCATTCCTCTATATTCATCCCGACAATTCGGTCTTTGCTTTCCCTGTTTTCGCACATTGCTTTCCTTGTTTTCGCATAGGCACACGTTCTCGACAAACTTATCGGAGCTCATTACGACTGGGCTTGGCTTTTTGATCGTGTTAACATTTGAAGTTGCATCATGTCGACGTATCTCAGGCATCATATTGACGGTAGAACTCAATCGGAGGTCTCACAGGACTGGGGATAATTTCAAGGGAGAGCTTGGGAGAGTCCAAAAACGAGTCGAAGGATCCAAACCATTGAAAACTCATAAAACCAGAGGCAAGCGATTGCCATCGACTGGTTGGGGATGTCAGCTGAGATGGATTGCCCACGAGCTCTATCAGAACGGCGGACACAAATTCGAGGCTATTCACATAAAAAACAGCGATGGCATGGCATCACGGTGGCTGGACGGCGGAGGAAAAACGCAATACTCGAATAGGGATCTCCGATCCCTCAGTATATGATCCTACCGACAAATCAGGGAGAGGGGTTTCTTGGATGCCGGTTCCAACTTCTGCACCGGAGTCGGCAGATTGTCAACACTTGTATCGACAGAAGCTAAACTGAGTCCGGGCATGGCGTCGGAAACGAGAGCGAGATGGTGGCAGCGCTACCGCACTCGTAGTTTTTAAAGAAGGTAGAAGCACCAATAGACGGCGTTGAATAGCATGTATGAAAGGGGGAAGATTATCCGAGAGTATTTATCGATTTTGTTGACGTCTTTGATTCGAGGAATGGCAGTTTTGATCATTGAAGCGTGCCTCTTCAAGCTAGCCAACATCCTGGGCCGTCTTTCGCCGTATTCGGAACGATAGCGTCTTCGGTTCGCGTAGCCGATCGATGGTCTGGAATTGTAGTTTCCCCTGAGACAACAGACAATATATTCAGTGTTAGCGGGGGGAACTGGAGGAGTTCAGGGAAGTATTCGAGGTGATTATTTTTCTTTATTCGAGGAATTCGGAAACACTCGCTCCTGAAGTGTCGCAAAGGATCCTCGATCTCTTTCCGCCGATAAATCGAGAAATCAATCGAATATTAGCTTTCGCTCCAAACGAGAAGAGTGGAGAGCCCCCGAACGTATCGTATGAATCTGGATTCGATCCCCGGGAATTCGAGCCCGAGAACAGTCGTCCCGCATGATTGCGTAAGAGAAATTGTAACTAGAGTTTTCTCAGATTTTGAAGCGTGGATTCTTCCCTATGCGAGTGGAGAGAGTTTCGATTCTGTGCTTCCACTGACCGAGATATTTCGAGTCGGAAAGTTTCGGCCAGGGTCCCCGGAGCATAGAGAGCGTTAGCTTTTGGAGGCAAACAGCATAAAAATTGAGCCCGAGGCAAATCTTTCCTCCAGGGCAGGTGAACCTGTTCGTCCGGCCGGCAGCTCGCTCGCTCGACTGCCTACTCGGCTGTCGGGCTTCATGAGCTCGCTTCGGTGGAAACGTTCGAAAGGCTTCGAGAGCGAAGCAAAGCTATCGTCAATACGTTCCGTGCATTTGACGCTCCTGATCTCTAACATCCATAACCCCTCTCATACCTGTGTGTCATCCGGAAGGATGGCGGATACTTCCCGTCGCCTTCGGCGATGTTGCCGTACGATCGTCTCCGATTACGTATGCACGGTATCGGTGACATACGGATATCGTGGAGCTCGATGATTTCCTCGTTATTCTGAAATGAATGTCGCACTCCAGACATTAGTCCGATCGTGGACGGCTAGTCGATATTAGGGAAGGGAGGCAGAATTAGTTTGGTGGCAAATTGTCGCTCATTGACAGAAAATATTGCGTCGAGGTTCTGGCCATGGACTCTGCCACACAGGCTACAATGCGAGAGCTGGGAAAACGTAGGATAGCGATGCGGGGAAGAGCCCTCCCCACTTCGCCGAGAGTCGTATTTCTCACGTACGTAGGCTGGGATAGCCGAGCCCTAGGCCATCCTTCTATAAGCATTCATGCATGAGAAATCCGACACTTCGCTCTGAGACTGCGAGAGGATCCGCTCCACTATTCTGGCGGAGACGGCGCCCGATCGATAGGAGATTCCATTCGAGCTCGTCATTCCAGAGAAAGCCCAAAATCATTCCTTTCAGACGGTCGGGAAATTTCATCCTCGTTCCGATTCTAAGCATTTTCGTTGCCTATGCAATTACGATAAGGCCTGCAGCTGGTCACCAGCTGCTTAGAGGAATAAGATTTCGTCACAGATGTCGAACTTATGGAAAAACTTCATCTTCTCGACCTGCTCCCTGAGCCCTCCGAACTCTGGTCCAATAGAGCCCCGAGCATTCTCGTTTTCGAAAGAGTATCTCCCTGTGCGCTCCGGACAACGGTAGGCTCCGAATTTCTCTCCCGGCTCTGCGAGGTGCTTTCCTCCAATAAAACGCGGCCGACTATTGTTGACGTCGCCTCTCCGAACGGAGACCGGCTCCGTCCTCAATTCTCGCCGGATTACGAGGAGTGGACTCTGTGGTCAAGCGACCCCTGGGACAAGTTGGGGTCGCTTCTCCATTCAATGCCGGGGACCCCTCCCGAGCGCCGAGAGGAGGACCGAAATAAAAACTTACCGGGTAAACTGCATCCGGAGCGGAGCGCACGTGAGGCGATGGCGGCGACGGAGATTTCTCTTCGCTCTTCTTCCGTTTGGGTTTTTTCTTCGCTCTCGCCCCCCAGTACGTATAGTTGACGGCAGCGTATTCTAACAGAGCGGCGAACACGAACACGAAACACATGACCAAGTAGATGTCGATGGCCTTAACATACGAAATACGCGGTAACGACGATCGTACTCCCGTACTAATTGTCGTCATTGTGAGAACGGTTGTGATACCTGAGAGGCGATCGACGGTGTGTGAGCAAAACATGTCTCAGATCCCGTCGCGATCGACCCGAGAAAGGGGGAATTTTTCAAATATCGATGATAACTATTCCGATGCTTTTGTTCGCACCTAGGGCCACTCGAGCTGAGGTGGCCTCGTGGTTAATCCAAAACGACACCCACGAGAGCATCACGATGAGGATTGATGGCAGATACGTCTGGAAGATGAAGTATCCGATATTTCGCTTGAGCTCGAAGCTCAACGAGAGCCGTTGGTAAGTGCCTGCAGAAGAACGATGAGGTTGTCGCTACCTTAGGCACTTGAAATGAACGATTTCTCTAGTTTCCATCTCAATAGCTTTCCGAGAAGCCTCGAGGGCAGATAAGGAATACACGTTATCGAGAGAGAAAAATTATCCTTCGTAATTATCCTTCGTGATTATTGAATACGCCAGCTGACTCTGGAGGAGCGATGCCGACGCAGCGTCCGTAGAGCGAGTGTCCGAGCCGTAGACGTACCGGTGGCTAAAGATTCTTTCCTGTCCGTGGTCTCGTGTCGCACGATAGAAAACTGAGGCAGTTCCGACGAATCGACGCCCCCAACAGGATTCGGTTGTTTCCAGTACATGACCACCTCGTCCACCGTGTAGCCATCTGTAAAGGAGGCGTGTCAATAAACTTGCTGTATGGAGTCCTTTCTGCTGCGGTGATATTCCCTCTCGAGTGGTATCGATACTCCAGGCTATCATTCTATGGGTATATGCTAATACGGCGAGAAAAAGCGATCACTCCGCCACTAGACGGAGACGACATTGTTGACATGCCATCCTAAGCCCTGATGCTGCTCTCGTCCCTGCCGTACCGCAGCTTTCGTGTTACGTCGTAGACGTCGATTTTGCAACGTTCAGGTGGGAGGCCACAGACTGAACACGGAGCCACAAAAACGATCTTCCGTCGGGATGTATGCGCTATACGCACGCGACGGGAATAGACTCTCGCATTGCTTTTAATTACCATGTCAAGCGTTCATCATGAGCTCCCAGTGGGCTGACTACCGAGGCGAGGGACACGCGGAGAAAATTACAGATCCGACAAGAGAGATTATCCAGATGCGGAGCGCCGCTTACAATGTTGCAACTTGGACCTAGAATGGCGTTCAGGTTCGTCACAGAGGCGCTCCCCTGACGGAATAGAACGACTTCTGGAGGCCCCGTAGCGATGGAGAACTGTTTCAAGTACACGATAATAGGAGTCTCCCTGTTAATCAACGTTAAGGGTGTACTCGCTTAAAACATTCACGAAGTGGGTGTGCCGTTCGAGTCCGGTTGTCGCAAAACCTATGCTCGCGCCTGCTGCCGATATACATATGAAGTCGTCAGACTCGGAAACGGCTGACGACGAATTCTCCCGAATCGATCGAACGCGTGGCAGAATCTGAGCGAGGATCGAGCCTCCCTGGAAGGCTGTCGCAATTCGCTCGTGGAGGGAAAATCCTCAAGGAGAAGGATGATTACATGCTTTTCACTCTCGTTCCATAAACGCTCGGCGAGGAACAGAGCGCGGAATTCACGTCGGATCTCGGGAGAAACCACGAATAATATGATTCTCATTGACACCGACTAAAGGCCGAGGAGCCAGGCAGCACTCTCAGCCGGACCTGGGAAATTCGCGGCCGCTCATCCGTCCGCCCGGTAGGGTAATTTGTTCTTCCGCTCAAGGTGAACTCCCGCGTGCGCTTGCGTGCGTGCCCTTGCCCGCAGAAGAGTGTATGAACGGCTTTTCCGCTTGCAAGTGTCGTGGCCGAGGGCAGGAGGGAGCAGGACGGCTAGACTCGGGATCGGCGAGGGATGGCGGAAGAAAACGGAAGAGAGGATCGGCGACGACGGGCTATGGCGATGATCGTGGCACATTCGCTCCCGAGCACAATTCCCACGTAATGAAAAGAAGCGGCCTACAAGGAACGCTTTGCTGAGATCCGGCGAGGACGTTCCACGAAGCTCTGCACCACACGGTTCCGCCTACAACTTGAGTTATGCAAAACTGAATTTTTCGGGGGAATTATCACGAGTCCAAGTTGAAAAAAATCCCTAGCGAGGCGGATATTGGGGGCTACCCCGGCAGCATACGCGATGTGCAGGTTTCGAATTGCCAGCCGAGCTAATGAATCCGGGAACAATCATTCTCTCATTTCCGGGGACAATATTTTGATAGTTCAGACGTTTCCGATGTTTTTTGCAATCGGATTTATTTCGGAGAGTCTCTGTCTAGCCCTTTCCGCATCGCCCTACCTGACTAGGTTAGGGATTCCCCTAATCGTCTAGGAGTAATAACTCACAGCTCTCAATTTCGACGGTGCAGTTTTGAGCATCGAGGGGATAGTAGTGCAGATCCATCATGCAAGCCAAAGTCGTGGTGAACCTGGAAAAACAGCGGAAAAACTTGATCGAGTGTCCCATGTTCTGACAACGACAAATCGTAGCGATTCCAGAACCGCAACGAAAGCCATGACAACAATTTCTCCGCCGCTAGCCCGCTTTCCCGCATCGGACAATACGATTTATCGATATGGAATTCGTTTCTTTTCAGCTCTCATCGGAGAGCTTCATGGCACGGCTTCGAAACAGCCCCGAGAGCACCGAGGAAAGACGTTCTTGTACTATTTCACTGTATGGAGTTTCCGGATAGATGTTGGACCTGGATGTTCAACGAGGATTTCGGGAGAGCCATCGTCGACTCAGAAAAGGTTCGCGATGAAAGGGAACTCCAGGAAGGAGGGTCTCAAGAGTCCTAGGAAATTTTGAATATATAGTGCCGCGACGATTCCCATCGATTCTCATTGGAACCCTATCGGAAAGAGAGTCCGCGATAGGGGATCAATGAAATTTGCACTCGAAGCATTAGTGCCTCTGCTCCCGTTAGGCGCCGCTTTCGAGGATAAACTAAGCGATGAGCCTTTTTCTGTTCCAGCGGTGCACGGAATCGGAAGCTCTCGGGGCGGCTGAGGGTAAACATCGGAAGTAAGCCAGCCTTTCCGAAGGAAACTCCTCTCCTCCAGTTGGAGGCTGTTCGTTGAATCGCTGAGCTACCGCGGAGTATATTTCGTGCAAAGATAGGAAGACCGGAGGAAACTTTCTGATGGACTGCAGTAATTTCCCGCAAACTATGGACGCACCCCCCGATATCGTCTCCAATTCCAATCGCAGTCGACACTGCTGCCGGAATCAGCGAGCTCTCCTAGCGCGTCAAGGTCAGAGCAGGCTTCGAAAAAATGAAAATTCTCACCTCATGCCGTACGTTATGTGGCCGTCAGATTTTAGCCGCACCATTTTATTCTTCTCTGTCACGTCGTGGAGAAATGAGTTCTTATCGTTGGCGAAAAATGTGTCTGGCACCCAGATCTTCTCCGCAAAGTCGCCCGAAAGCGTCAGCTCCTGACTGTTTTGTTCACTGGAGCTAAAAGCGAGCCGCTCGTCTACCCAATATTGGTTCAGGTACAGTGTAATCGTATAGTCCATGTTTACTTCGGAGATGCTATCAAAACTTGCAATCAGTAAATCCATTCCTATGTATAGCGGTTTACCTGCAAGAATCAACGAAAGTTTTAGCTGACTCGAAGTTACGTTAGACCATTCGTCAGAACGTCGAAGCGAGGAGTAAGGAGAAACCAATGAGCGACTTGAGGACTGTTGGCGGCCAAACACATTGGCGAAACCCTTCATCTAAATGACTGTCTCCGCATTCGCTTCGTGAAATATGACAGCTATTCGTGTGAGTTGGGCCGTGATGGAGGACTTGTTTGAGGATTATTCGTTATGATTGATGCTCGGGCCCGCTGTGGCAGGAAAACAAGGAGAATCACTGCAAATTTTCCCGAGCTCTCGGTCGACGACTTCCGTCGACCGTCCAGGGGGGGAACGACTCGAATTTCTCCTCGTACTTTTGGAGGTTTGACGAGTCCGGAAGCTCCGGGTCACAATCCCTCGGATGGTGTGATCTTCGGAATACTACTCGGCCATCTCTGGGACAGTAATGGCGAAGGAGATTTCCCATGCGTTACCGATCGGTCGTTTCCGGGTTTCGTGATAGGTGTGTGATGAAAGGGCTTTCGAGCTTACCGCCAAAATTCGGTCGCAACCGAATGTCATATCCGTTGAGTATGTTCTTGAGAATATCGGTGATGTTCTCCAACTGCTCCGGGCGTCGGTTGATGTGAGTGCCATCGCTGTAATTGAACGTGGCTTAAGCAAACTGAAAATTCGACGTTCGGAAGCTTGAGCCGAAAATCCACTCCATGCAAAGCCATCAGAGCTTCTAGCTCACTGTCGAGCGATCTACGAGAATCAGAAATGACTGAGGAACGACTCCGAACATCAGAGGCTGCAGAGGCCGGAAGGGCGGTCGAAAGATGGACTAAGATCTGTTGAACTATTATCATAGACGAGTACGAGTCGATGGATAAAATATGAATATCCCGTCAGAAAGGGACGGAAACCGTTCTGACGTAGTTAGAATGGCTGCTCGCGGGTCGAATGCGGATTTTTCTGATCCAGAGAGACTTTTTTTGTCACCATGAACAATTAGCCGTTAAAATTTAGAAAATGCTTCCTTAATGGGGGAAGCCGAAATTTTGGACGCGCTCCGATCGGGAAAGCATCTCGCTGTGTGCGCACACAAGCGACAAGCTTGCTGAGCATAGAAAAAATTCGAGAAGCTCTGCGATCGTATATCCCCGTGGAAAGCTGTCAGAGAACTTGTCTCCTTCGCTCCTTTGTGCCCTCTTGTGTCGCATCGGGAGAATGATGGTGATTCGCTCCGCTTGGCTCAAGCATTCGACCGGTGATCAAACGAAAATCAAGAAGCTCGCGGGGTGCGCATATCGATTCTTGATCGGACGTGTCGCAGTCTCCCACTATCCCCGAGATCCGAAGCGAGGAATTCCCTTTAACCCCATATCTTTTAGGAAGCTCGCGGTGGCCTTCGACTCCACGGCCGGGACTCAGGGACGGGGCGATAGCTTTAGGTCTCCCTGTTAGGAAGAAGTGATGTTTCGATTCCTTTCCGAGGGAACTTACTTCGTCGGTATTTTCGGATTGATATACACTCTGGTTTCTCTGGAAACATTCGATCGATACTTAAATCGTACCTCTTGGAATTCATCGTAAATTCAGGACTACAAGTCTGCTCTGTTCTGCGGGGATCCTCTCCATCGGACAACGAATCAGAAAACAATTCCTTAGTGATCTCCGGTCATCAAGATGAAAATGGATCCCCACGCACCGAGCTAGTAAGCATTTTGATGTTCCATAATTAGAGGTGAAGCGTTCCGTGGCGACGCCAGCCTCTTTGTGGGAACTCATCGATCAACCATAGATGCCTCCGCTCCCGTTCGTGGGATCCACGGCAGCGTGGGGGGACCCATGGAAAGACTTGTGTCGAGCACCGCGTCGCCGTCCACAAGGGAAATCGTCCAACTCGCAGCAACTTCTACCGGAAGGCTGTGCGAATGTCCGCGCTCCGGTGAGGGACTGGAACGCCTTCTCGCACTCCCGCTCCAAGCGTCCGGGAACCTTGCTCCGTTGCCTCGATCCCAATCATGTTCTGGCTCGGATCTCGATTTCTTGACCTTCATCTGGATCTACACGGTTGGCATCTCGACCTTCCGCGTCACGTACTGTAGCGCTTTCCGAGGACAGCTCCCTCAGACTCCAAACACAGCCGCTCGCAACAAGTCTTCTCTCGCTAGGTACCGATTATTATAGGTTCTTCCCAGTCCCAAAAATTCGATAATGGCACAGCGTCGGAAGGGGAACGAGAGCGAATACTTGTACCCTCCAGAAGGGAACATTATTTCGATCGAACGACGCCCACCAACATTGTTGCATCTGGAGTCAAGCCGTGCTTTCGTGGATTCGGCGGCGCTTGCGCCTTGGCCTGCAGACGGTTTGTCTACAAATTGTTCTCCCCTCCCGCTATTCCTCGTTCCGGGTAAACGAACGAACAGACGAGCGCGGGCGAGCAATCTATCTTTACGATAATGCAGATTCTCACGCGAAGCTTGTCGAGCTCCGGAAAAAAGGCAATGCCTGCGAGCTCAGATTGTTGAAGTTGCACTTGCATCGTTGACGTATTGAAAGCTAAGAGTGCAACTCTGGTCCATCTGATGGTCTATCCATCCGGAGGTCAAATCGAACATTGGCGAGGCGATCATCGAGAAGGCCCAAAGGAGAAAAATCCCATTCCCTTCTTTCGCAACGAACGAGGGAGCGATTCAACCGAAGGGACTAGCGTGTCGGAGGTTATTCGAAGGAGGCCTATCTAGAAACAAGAAAAGAAGAAAACCGAGTAACTTTTTTCTGATTGATGCTCCGGTAGGGGTGGGCGTTCCCAGGTGTCATGCGTTGTATGTCATGGGACCCTTACAGACAACTGAAGGCCTGACCATGGAAACGTTGCAGTGGTCCCGCGGAACCATGCTAATACGCGACAAGAACAATATCTCGCGACCTTGGCACGAATGATAATCACATCGAAGGCGCGCGAGGGATCGATCCTTGTGGAATGGAGTGGAACTATAATACATATAAACTAGTAGAATCAATCGTATATATAAGCGATTTTTTTTCAAGGATCAACTCCTTCATTTCGCGATCTGTCCAGTGAAAATCAGGGAGACGACGGCGACATGGAAAATGAGCGGGTTTCTAGTCCCGGAAGACATCGCCTGATCGAGATCCCCGTCTGAAGTGACTCAGACTCCGAACCTTTCTTACGGTCCTCCAGTGTCCCGGCAGTATTGTAGGCTGGGACGTGACTTTCATTTGATGGCAGCGGAGAGTTCTCCGGCTGCCGAGCCACAGCCCGCAAAGAATTGTGATTATGGCGCACAGGAAAGCCCGGAGTGACTGATGAGAATTTCGCTCCGGGACCGCCATTCCCCCTAAAATATCGATTCCATATTCGTGATTCGACGAACGCATAGAGGAAAATCCCCCATCCCCCCTCCTCGTGGTGTCTAGCATGGAACGACGGGGAAAGACTCTCACGCGGTGAGGAACTCCTCGTAGAGTTCCTCCGGGCTCGGACCATTTCGAGAATGTTTCGCTCGAGTTTGACGCCTCAGATACTTCGGGCTTGGCGGTATCGAGATCGTTCAGTTTCTACCCGTGCGGGACAGCAGATCTATGGGAATGCCAAGGTGGGGGCTCCACGATCTCGAGCATCGGGATGCTGTGCGAATATTTATCGATCCGCGACTAAATGCAGTGGATCGAGAATTCGGAGCTTGATACAGAGACAAGGTTCCCGGATACCTATTGGGAGAAGAGCCGAAGCGATTTTCTCCAGCCATACTACCTACATTCTCAATGATTCGGGAATTCCGCCAGAACTCTCGTGTTTCCCCTGACCTGACTTTTTTCGACCGGCAACAAATCGGAAAAATTGTCCCGACCAACGTTGCCACATCAGAAACTCCGCAAGTCAAAGGGTGGAAAAGCGAGGAATGACACCTGCAGTCACCGGAGCTGAGTAGGACTTGGATTCTAATGACTGCGTGTTCTCATACAGAAAAACACTCTGCGCCTTCCAAGAGCCCCAAACGACGGCGCGTAATGAATCTGAAACGATTCAAGGAACTTTCCAAAACCATTACTGCGACCGACCACACTTCTGCAGCAACAGATCCGTGCCCGATTCTGAACACCGCGCTCAATTGAACTCCTGACGTTCGTTTTCCCGAGAACGGGAGCAGCGAATCGCTCTCCATCTGTTTGAACATGGAGAACACGGGGGAACAAAAACACCGATGTCGACTCCAACGCAAGCGAACCAATGGTCCACGTCGAAGTTCCGAGTTCTATTTATGGTTTGATCCAAATGCAAAACTTTTCAGCGATCACAGTTTGCAGACGACTCTCGCGTGTTGCATCGAGAGGCGGAACGGTGCGATTCTAGACTCAACTGGATGCGGGAGGACTCTAGGTAGAGGCTAATGGAGCACTCGTCGTCGCTTCATCAACGGTTCGATCGTTCCTTAGTCGTCCATCTGCTCGCTGGCTTCCCTTCCATCCATCCATCCATGGGCCGATTCATCCAACTTACCCAAAGTGTGGAAATAACACAAGGCAACACAGGGCATAACATGCGACAGTTCTCCAAAGGACTATGGGTCGCCGCTGACGGAACGACTCCATAGCCTCGGGCGCCTTTAGAAACGGGGGCGTTTTCTTTTTAACAACTGTCAGAACGCCATGTTCCAAACGAACAACAAACACTTCCTACAAGAACAACATCCCACCAGGCTGAGACGATCGCTTGCACTCCGCAGGGCCAGGACCGACTTCGAGAGGGAGGGCAATGCCAGCAAGGGCTGCAAGAGAGCCCTGCGCGCACATACATAAGGCAAACATTTTCGACACGGCCCGTCCGCCAGGCGGCGCCACCTACATCGGCTCGAACGCTCGGTGCTGCCCTAGTGGGACAAACTGACCATTGGGAAAGCTTCGGAAGAGCCAGCGCGCGGGACGCTTCGACCAATTTGCTTCCACATACGCTCTGACTGCAGTCAGAGCTTGTGACGGCATTAGTTCTAACGCACCCGATTTGTCTTCCCGTGGATCGAACAGAGGAGCTCAGAGCAGAGTATTAAAGGATATGCACATCGTTAGTCCCGCTGTCGAGAGGCCTAATTTTTTAACCAACATATCCAACTCACTACTAGTTAGCGACATCCGACCCGGAAGCTTCCGGCTCCGTGATCAGGAGCACCACGCAGTGAGTGGGAGAAACGCCGCTCAGTGTCATTCTTCCGCTCCGGCAACCTTTTTTCTCGATGGGGGCCCAGCAGCTCTCTAGCGATTGGTGAAATAATTTCCGATTCTCCCTCCCGGATTCGAGCCCGCGCCTCCGACGGACTGAAAAACAGCAGCTGCTTGGAGACGAAGTCTCTCTCCCGTTTCTCCCGATTTTCATATCTAACGAAGAATTAACCAACGGCCTCTGCGGAATCAAGTCATCACGGCGGTCGATCCAGTATAAATCACGAGTCTACGCCCTTCCACCCATGCGTCCCACGTTCCTCGGCTTGATGCCAAGGACCAAGCTCACTCAGTTCCCTCGGCAGAGAGTGCATACGACCCACTGCCGTAAATGTCGGAAAAAAACTCCATACTGTTGATGATACCCCGCAGCGCTCTATCGGCAAGCGATACCCGCGGAGCGGCAGACTTTTGCTGAATGGCGATCTTCGGGGAATCAGTGGATTATGGTCCATGAATCCACCATATTGGGAGCTGTCGACGCTGACGTCACGACGGCGCGGCGGGAGCAGCGACGGATGTTGTCGACACGTTTCCGACAGCATTCCACGCTCGAGACGGCTTGAGTCAGCTGAACCCCGGAGTCGACTCGGAAAACCCCCACGGAGGAGTCTGCCGGAACAACTTCCGAAAGCGCGAGACGAGAAGTGCGCGAACCTAAGCGAAAGTAACGCTCCGTATGACGAGGATCCTTCTGGAATTCCTCTGGTGGTAATCATTGAAAATCAATGCACGAAGGCTGCTTTCTTGCTGTCTGATTGATTGCTGGAGTCGTGATCTTCGGAAAATTCGCCGTCGGAATGGGGTCCGGGGTCCATCCCAAGTTTGGAACCGCACATCGATGAGCGGTTTCGGTCTGTGACCAGATGATCGGCCGCGGAGAAAAGTCTTATCGCAAGCGGTGCTAGTCAATAAAAGTTGAGGAACTACTTGACCCTGTCATATCGAGGCTATGCACCGCCGAGCTTCGGAAGTGGTCGAGTCAGTACATTTCGTCATATTTTCGACACGGACAGCAGACTTCCCCGAAAAATGCTCGGAGCATATCGGAAAGGAAAGAAAACTTTTGAAGGAGGGAAGAAGCGCGCGACTAAGTCGCGTCGTCGACTGAGCGAGCCATCAATCCGGGGGAACGGCTCCTCTGTGAACGAAGAAGCTTGAGAAGTCCTCCCTGATTTCGAGGCTGAAGTCCGTCGCTGATCGACTTTCGTGATTCCGAACTGAGAGGAAACGAATGAGGTTTATCGATGAGATCGTGAGACGACAACAGTGTTCGACAGCGGCATCCGATGATATGGAGTGGCGCGGACGTGAGACTCTTAAACTCTTCCCTTATCTCGATTCGGGCGGAGGACGAGGCTTCGACTGCCGTTTGCTCGTTCTCGCAGTCATCCGGACGACTCGCTCGGAGCTCGGATACTAGCTCGCGATTCCATCAGGAGCTTTGTGGGGCACGTACAATTAGTCGCGCGGCTATTCAGAAATCCTCCGGAGACTGCTCACGAGTCGCTGGCTTAATCATGGAAGCTCGAACGGAGCCTTATCAAGTGTGTCGATCACGACGAGCTCGCGGACCATGTGGGAAACAGCTCAAATTGATCAGTTCATTCGCTTCCCCTTCTCCCTTCTCGCTTCCATGAAAGTATATGTCGCCGACGTCCAACCTACGGGCAAGAGGGCTACGTCCGTCTGCGAATCCGACCGCAAGCCCACGCCACGGTCAAGCTGGCCGAGCTCAATCGGGCGACGCGGGTTTTACAAGCACTGAGGGGAGCAATAGCAGATAGTGTACACGTGATTGGGATCCGAAACTTTTTTCTCCAAGGACTGCCCAGGGTCAATCGGTCGAACACGGGTCCGATTAGGCTTTTTAATCAGCGCCATCCGAGGAAGCGGTTGTTCGCTAGCGGCTCAAGACCCATGGAAGCTTTTTTCCGGAGCATCTCAGGACCGATTCCGCAGTGATATTCCCGCGGTTGCTTATCTGCGGTCCAACATTCATCAGTGAGTCGAGATTCAAGGAAAAATCTGAAAGCTCGTTGCCTCCCGGTAGATTTTCGCGTTGCTCTCCAGATATCGCCCGCCGTGCACATGCGAACGGCGACGGGATGAACTCGGTTGGACTTCGTCTTTGAAAATGTCACCGACGAGATGGTTGGCTTCGTTCGCCCTCTCGGACGAAGTCAAAACACCTATCAGATCAGCGAGTAGTTCACGACTCGTCTCCACTTGAATGCTCCCTAGTAAGGAAGAACGAGAGAACAAACTGGAAAAACGAAAGCGACTCCGGCAACCGCTCGACCACGGCTAGACGAGGACCTAATCGGAATTGGTTGAGCGAATCAATCTGATCCGAATTCAAGAAGTCCCGGTGTATTCGATGGAATCGCTCAAGGACGATAAAGGAAATCCAGTCTGAAATCAACCTCGCTCCGGTCCAGTCAGAACCAGTCATTCTGCACACTGCTGATGTCCTAAAAGCGTTCGTCCGGTGATCGAGGTTAGTGGGTCTACCAAGAGGAGCAAAATGGACCTCGGATTTACGATTGAGCCGTCAGCAAGGTGGGATAGGCCGTTCGGCGTCGCGACGCCGTAGCGAGCGTCTAGGATCAAGAGAGACTTCATGTCCGCTCGAACATTATGCGACCGGTGCTTCTGAGCCGCCGCCTCCAACGAGTTATTATCAGAATCTGGAAGTATAGGCATCAATAATTTATCACGCTTGATAATCAATCCATGATTAGAGAATGAAATCGATCGATATAATGCTGCATAATGTTGAGGGACCGGTGAGATTCGAAAATCTAATCATCATCAATTCATCGATCTATAATAGTTGGCAATTATTGTCCGCAAAGCCGAGAGAAGTCCGGACCCGGTGCCGTATCCTCTGGGGTCCGCACGGTGAACTCCGATATGGTTTCGCTAGTCCGGCTGCGCGTTCGAAGGAGTCTCCGGTCAATTTCTCATTTACGACGTTAGGTCACTCAGGTAGCCAGCCAGAAACGAGTGAACTGACGTCGTCTGGCGCGAGCCCTGCACGTACCGTAGTTCCGGAGCACGTATTTATAATTGAGGCCCAAAACAAGCAGAATTTTACTAGTTCGCATGCAGATCAAACCTAGGTAGCCTGGTTATGGGTCGGGGGCGGGGGATGAGACCCGGGTAGACTTGCATAGGCGACTCGAGTAGCTATGTACATCTAACCAGCTCGATCTAGACTTCGGAAAGCGCGGCACGCTTTGAGGCTTGCCACTTTACACGAGCCTGCGGAGAGCTCCACGCTCGGGGCATCGGTGATACATCGAACTCGTTACGCACGCGCGCTCGTGCGTGCGCCCTCTTTCTCTCCCATGTCGCACGCTCACGCGCCCCAGACACGATTAGCATCAGGAACGTGGCACTACTTCATAATGTCACGACGACGACTGCAGAGTTGCGACAATCTCGACGATCCGAAAGTATTACAATCCGGGTAATAGTAATCTAAAATGTTCTTTTCTAATCTCCTACTGTGGGATAATTGGAGACTGCAAGCCCCGAATTTCCGGGTGAGCCATTTCCCCAGGGACAGACATTTATAGGCGTTTTTTCTGCCGTTGAAACTTCGCTTGATTCATGCAGTTCTGGAGGGAAGAATCCATGGCCCGCTGGAGTTCGCCAGGAGGATCTCACCTCATCTCCGAGCATTAGGAATGTTTCTCCATACGCGGGATCTGCATTCGGGCGATTGAATTCAATGCTCGAGGCTGGGATCATTACGACCTTGGCAGGAGTAGGTACATATATCCTCGACAGGCTACACGGCAATATCCCGCGTATGGCCTGTTCCCCGGGATTTTTGCTCAATTATATGTATGTTGTGCAAGATTCTCGAACCTCGGCCTCCCCGATGGAATGGCCCGATTGAGGCTTTTCCCGAAGATATTCTCCTTGAGCTCTCTCTGCACTGTGAATGCGGCTCAGCTGGTTGCAAGTCCGCTTCGGTCATCGTTCCGTCTCTCCTAGCGGCAAATTGCGGATTCATTCCTTATAGGTAACTCTGTAATCCTATTTCGACATGCGGCGAATTTGAATCACGAGCGATTTCGCGGCGCGTGGAAAGGGAGTCTCCATCACCTCCGGTCATCCGCTTGCAGGTAGAAGATGAATTCAAATTGAATCTTTCGTCGCAAGAGAGGTATGCATCCCATTTCGACTCGAGGCGGAAGGATTTCAGTGGGTTCGAGCTTCCGATGGGATTCGGGCAAAGAGATTAATCCCTGGTCGGAGAAACATCTGATAAGACTTCCGCCGCGATGCTTTCACGCTGAGTCTTGCTCTCCGGGCAGTCAATAAAGCTCAGCCCGTTACTCCCTGGATCTGCGGATAATCTGAATTCCAGGAACAGATTCGTTCAATCAAATCCTACCTGGATTCAAGGCATATCGAGCGGGTCCGAGTGTCCTCTCGCTTATGACGCCCCTGCCAGGACTCTCCCAAGG